GGGGGCTAAGAACACGCTTATCTCCCTGAGCCTGGCCTTCATAAGTCCATTCCATCACAGCGGAGACCATCAGAGCACCATGTGGAAAAGAACCGAGGAAAGCAGAGACGCGCTCACCTACCCCCTCGATTAACATAGAGACCCCACTCGTTTTTCTCCCCTTTGATGGCTTTGTTCAGCAGCAGCACCGCCTCTTCGTAGCAGCCCTTGAGGTAACAGTGGACGGCAAAGTCATTGTAGGTCAGGAGCACCTGCTTCTCGGCCTCCCGACGCACCTCATCGGCTTCCTCGGTTTGGCACAGCTCCACGGCTTTCAGGTAGTCATCGATGGCTGCACTGAAGTCTTTCAGCCTGCGCAGGAGGCTCCCTCTTCCAAAAATGTTGCGAGGGTTTTGGGGAGGTGGGCGGGGGGGGAGAGAAAAGCAAAGCAGCCCATCTCAGGACCTCAGGGAGAAAATGCGATTCCAGGGGGTTTAGACGTACTTTCAGCCCTCGGTGGAAGTCTCCCAAAAGGAAAATCAGAACGCCAAGAAACCCAGCCTTTCGGGTTAAGAGGGATGCAGTATCATGGCGGGGTTACTCGGCCTGTGTGACTCATTCGTATAAACGGTTATTTGTCCATCTGAGTGGCAAAACACAGGGCCAGTTGGTTCCCCATCCCAGCCCCCCTCCCTTAACTGGTGTTGCTCACACCCAGAAGTCCAAAGAGGTCAAAACCGTGCAACCACGCCTGAGGAATTCCCCTAGAGACACGCTGGTACCTGAAGAGGAAGTACTTGGCATCCAAGGGATTGTAATCGATGGCCCGGTTGATTTTCAGCAAAGCAGCTTTCAGGTTTGACCCGACTGCCAAGGTCACGGCGCAATCCTTGGACCTCTCCGCTTCCTGCGTCAGCTTCGCCAACAAGAGCTGGGCCTCGACGTGCTCCGGGTCCAGCCTGAGGGCCTCTTGGATGTTGCAGAAACAGGGGCTAGCCTTTGAGGGTGAAACAGCAAACCTTGTTTAGAAAGGCCCTGCTTTCTGCTTCGGACTGACAGCCACCCCAACCGAAATCCTCCACTGATTTCTGAAGTCAACCAAAGCTGGTGAACATCTCGAAGGAGCAGACCGGTATGACATCCCTTCCCACCTGAGTCTGCTTCCTGGTGTATCCAGGTAGAGTTTGAAGGCGATGCAATTTCACTGGATAAACCCCCGTCCTTTGGGCTAGTTGGATACTTCCCCCAGGAGAAAAGAGGGAGAGATGGAAAGGGCTTCATCAAATGCGTTCTCATCCGCCAGGCAAACTGTATGTGACCAACGGGTAGGGGAGACTGAGTTTCCAAACCAGAAAATCAACCGGGGAGCTTCCCACCTTCCCAAAGTATTCATAGAGACGAGCCCTCAGGACAAAGAGATCTGCGTTCTTCTTCTCACGTTCAACCTCTTCGTTGACCATCTGAAGGCAATCGTTGAATCGGTTCATCGCAGCCAGGCAGGCGATGCTGGCGAGTGAGAGAAAAAGGGACGTGAGTTTAACCTAACCTTTACAAAAGATTTGGCAGGGATTCTCTGGCTCTTGGGAGGAGCCACAGGCCTGAGAAGAACAGGAGCAGGTGTCTGGGGAGAGCTGCCCAGGACGGGGCTGAGGCGAAGAACCGGGGGATCCTGGCTCTCACATCAGTGGGGCTTCGAAGAAAGGGCACCCTCAGAGATGGCATTTTATTACTGTCGTTATTTTTAAAAATAATCTCTTGAAACCAGATGATCAATTGCCTGGTTGATTATCCTATTTTCTTGTAGGCCAGAGTGCAACCTCGGGCAGAGTAAAGACCTGTCACTCTTAAAACTTTCAGGAACAAATCCATTTTTTTTTTAACAACCCTAACCCCGCGGTTACCTCCTCATGTGATAAAGTGTGTTCTGAGGCTGGAGTTCGCAGGCATGAGTGAAGGACTCGAGGGCGTCCAGGTAAACCTTTTGCTCGTACAGAGACTGGCCCTGAGGGGGAGGAGGATGGGAGTTGTAAGTGCCAGGCTGCAGAAAACTGTCCTTCCTATTTCCTCCAATCCACGCAGAATCCTCCACACCTTTATTATGCCAGACAAGAATGCAAGAGTTGCTTATGCTGAAAAAGGAAGGCATTAGCACAAGCGGAGGTTAAGAAATCTTACAAAACAGTATGGATTTTGTTGTTTGTGCTTCTCCAAATCCAGGAAAAAAACAGGAGAGACCTTGTATGGCCCTGGACTAGAGACCGGGAGTTCTGGTCCTCCCACCCGTCTGGATGAATTTGGGTCAGTCAGTTGCACGCTCACTCACCTTCAGCCCAACCAACATGATGCCTCCTTGAATTACATGAAATAAAGGTGGGAGATGAGG